CGGTTTTTTCAGTTATATTTCATTAAATCGTACACGACCCGACCCGACCCCTCACAAGTGTTCGTGATTTTTTTTATCGGCTTCACTTAATTTGGGAACCACGTGATATTTTGTTCTAAATTCGCCACTGATCTCAAGGAATAATACAACTCTCTTTTAGGTTGTTTTAGCTATTTTAACTTTTGTTTTTGTGCCTAACACAAAAATCATGTAACATCCAGATCATTGAGGTACTTAATTTCTTGAATATCTAACCTTTTGGAAGAGGGTCACGATGTGAGATATGGTGGTCACGTCGTGAGTGACCATTGACTTGTTGACCTGTGTTTTCGAGTCTCATGAAATGAGTTATGAAGCCTCACGACGCGAGAACGGCCTAATGATCTAAAACCCTAATGTTCGAGTGTTCAATGGAATGAGAGGTCTAGGGTTGCCTATCCTCAGCCTCCCTCACTCTGTAGCCTCCTGAAAACCCTAATCTCGACCTGCTTGAGGTCCTTATCCATTTTTAGTGACCTTGAAGAACTTATTTGGTGGTCTTTGGCTCATTGAAGTGGAAGAAGACTTGTGTGGAGCATTCTCTTGCCAATCCAGCTTCTACCTTACCCTTCTTGCTGAGCTTTTGGACCTTTGTAAGTCATAAAGCTCTGGCCTTTTTACCTATTGCATTCTAGATCTAGGCTTTAAGCTCCTTTTTACATGGTTGAGTTGGATAGCCTGCATGGGATCCATAAAGTCGGAAACTTTATGGGTCATTGAAACAACTTCTGTATTATAAGCTTTGGACCTGAGTTTTGGAGTTGGTTTTAGACTCCAATTATGAGTCTTGATCTCATTTTCCCTCTTTTGACCTAGTGAGTGTTTAAGTCATGCATTGGACATGCATGACTAAAAAGCCACGATTTTTATTATCCTTTCGGTGAGGGGAGACCCTCTAGAAAGTCCCAAGTATTGGCTTAAAGGAATAAGATCTTAATGCTCAAAGTTGGCCAAGGAAACGCTCACGACGTGAGGATGAGCCGGCCACGTCGTGACAATGCATGCCATTTGCGACTGTTTTTTTTGGTTTAGGTCACGACGTAACCTGGGAGTGGCCACGATGTAACGATGATTGGAATCGAGACTTGGTGAGTTGATTGGATGAGTTGACCCGCTGAGTTAGGACCGGGTCAAGTTCATACTCACAACGTGACCATGAGCTGGTCACGACGTGTGGATCAGCTGTTGACTTTGACCGTTGACCTTGAGGGTTGACCGTTGACTAGTAGATTTTGGCTCAGCTACTAATGTCCTTAAAGGTAGATTAAGGTTTTGCCTCGTGTGATTATCTAAGTGGCGTTTAGCACCTGTTGTGGGATTTCGAGGACGTGCCGACTTTTGAGCTGCTTTGCGAGGTGAGTTTGCTCACTATACTGTAGGACACTAGGGATTGTATGTGCTTGTAGTATTTGTGACTCTTGTTGTATGTGTTGTATTCATGTATGCTTGTTTTCTATATGTATGTGGGGTGAAATAGACCCGGTATAGCCTTGCGTTGACATATGAGTTGAAATAGACTCGGGGTGAAATGGACCCGATACAACCTTGTGTTGACACATGAGTTGAAATAGACTCGGGGTGAAATAGACTCGGGGGTGAAATAGACCCGACACAACCTTGAGTTGGCATATATGTATGGTATGCGGTATTTTGGGGAAGTCACTAAGCTTTGTGATTACTGTTTTCAGTTTATGTTTCAGGTACTTTGGGTTCGAAAGGGAAGAGCTCGTGATGATCACATTGCACACACACCATGTTTTTTCACACTTATTGACTCCGATGTACTTTTGGGATGTTATTTGATTTACTATGAATACTTTATGGTTTTGACAAACATGTTTGGTTGATGGTTCATTCTATATAAAAACGAAAATTTTTGGTTCTAAATTTTGAGACGTTACAAATCATATCTCCCTCATACGGATCCTATTTTCGACATTCTTTTTCCTGAAGTTTATATCTTAAGGAGTACTACAAATCTCCTTTTTTTCACTTTTAGTCAAAACTCAATCAATCTCTATGTACCGTTTTGACGTAATTAACGTTAATTACGCAATTGATTTTTATCTTTATAAAATCTATAACTCTCTCATTTGGAGTCGGATCCTTACGAATCTTATATCCATGGGATCACGTTAACGAGTACTTTCCAAATACGTTAACCAGCTTTGAAGATAGTACAACTTTTTGGACGCTTATTTTTTAGCCTAGCAGTCGATTTAACAATAAATGTAATGGCACATTTGATTCTTATTATCTCATAAATTAAATATTACAATCTTAAGCTATTACATGTATTTTTCCCACTCTCTCCTAGCGGTGTTCAGTGACGGAATCCTCTCGTTGTCATAGGTTAAGTCAATAATAAGGTTTTTGAAATGAGTTTTCAAAGTAATCATAAGAAATAAGGAAGTACTTAAGTGAAAAACTAATTGTAAGTGCTCATTATCACCGTATGTGTGTCTAAGTCTCTATTCCATAGTTGGAATTAGAATCACCAAATGAGTAATGTAATCATGATGCATGATTAGATTTGAATGAGTCTAAGAACTTTATTCATGTTTAGGATGATCATCGCGATCATATTATGGACTTGCAATAAGTCATTAAAAGCTTAAGACATAAGGTACTACTTGATGTCATTTGAGTGTGCCTTTAAACTCTATCGACATTGAGTACTTAATCCATTATGTCACTTTTTGGGTTCCCAAGAGATTAAAGTACAATGCCTTAAACAGATCTACCCACTTTTACCCTTTTAACTTTCTATCCTCGTTTCACATCATCGCATGCCTCCTCCCTGAACCTTATCGCTGACCACCTGTAACACCACCACCTACCCTATCGTCAACCACTTGCAACACCACAACATTTTCTTAGCTAAAACACACTTACTTTCTTATCAAACAACGCTTCCTAACATTGTAAAAACCAAACGTGCATCGCCATCTCTGTAAATACGTCGAAGAACTCCATTTCCGGAAACTGCCACATGTGAACTTTTCGAACAACGTCCTTTTTGGGTGCACTAATCACATGTAATCCAGTCATTCAGTTCTATTAGACTTGAACATACCTTATTCCTAATTGGTTTTCAATTCTAAAATATTATTAGTTGAATAAACTTAATATTCATTGGTGAATGTGACATGAAATCAATCACCACACTCCTACATGTTTCTCTTTGTCTTTTCCCCACTTCACTGTCCTTGAAGTCAAGCACCAAATCAACCATGATTACAACCCAAAACAGGGAGATTGTATAATAATTTCAAGTTTCTTAAATACGAAAAAGAAAATTTATGTAATTCAAGAACATGGAGACATAAAAGTTGACTTTTGATAGGTTGTTTCTTGGTTGTACATAAAGATACACCAAAAACGTCTATAAATGATGGTCATGGATATGTGGTCAAATTGGGTGGCGTTGTTGTGTCTGATCAACAAAATTAAGTACACAAAAAACACATTTTACTTAATTTCAACCCACAATGCATAAAGTTTCAAAGAAACTAGTAAAAAAATCAACTGGAAATAAGTCTTGCTCAATGGTTTCTCAAACCAAGAGAACTCGTATGTGGTGGCTCATCGAACACTAACAACTATTTCGGGAGGTTTGTATAGATGGTGAATGTTGGTTGGATAGATGACATGTTCAATCTTGTTAAATGGGGCAAGGGTGTGGGGTACATAAATTGTGTTGGGGTGGGGTCATCACACCATACCACTAAGCTTTTTTTTTATACGATGACGACAATAATGTTTTACTTCACCTCCTTGCACAAACTCTGCTTTTGGATGGCGATGAAGAACCGACACACCTCCACGGACAACAAATGGTAAAATATCACGAAGGTTAAGCGACTTTAGACAAGGGGTTACGTTTGATATATGTCGATATGGATATGTGGAGGAAGGTGAGGAACAAAAAGATGGTGGTGGGAGATGAGGTGAAGATATTGGAGCGGGTATTGGTCATGGAGGAAAGGGTTAGGAAGAAAATAAATAGAGATGGTCAATATATTTGAAAGGTTGGGAACTAATACTATTAATAAATAAATAAAAATAGAAAAGAAGGATATATTAGTAATTTTTATATGACTTAATATATTCTAATTATTGGTGTTAAGTTTAAGAACCAAATTCATGATAAAATCTTAAAATAAAGACATTTTTTCAATTTGAAACTATTTTGTACCTTACCTAGAAAAATTGCAAATAAAATGAACCATTTTTGTAGTTTTCTTTTAACATATTTATTTAACTAAATGTATTAAAGAGCCAAATAGTCATTAAATTTGATACAGGCCAAAATTCACAAATAAAACCTCCTTAAACGACGGTTTTCTTTTTTTTCTTTTTTTTTTTTTTTTTTTTTTTTTTGCAATAATAAAACTATTCGGACCCAATTCAAAGAAAACATAAACCACTTACATCATGTTTTTAGTTTTCCTTTACTTTTTACGGAACTAAAAGCAATATTACGATTTTAAAATTTGTAATAATAGTTTACTTATAAATGGTTGCTAAAAGAAGTTATAAGCTAGTTATTGTTTACCTAAAAGGAATTACATAAATGATTAATAAAATAAGTTACTATTTTAGGCAGTTAATTTTACTACAACGAATCACACGAAACTTATGTTGTTTTTTTACGTAAAAATTCAAGTATCTGTCGCCGAGAATTTATATAATTATTATTTACCATATTTCTTTAGATATTTGGAAAATAATAATAATAATAATAATAGGTCCAAAGTAAGAATGATAGCTCAGAAACTGCCAATTTATATATCTGACCGTTAAATCTCAACCCTTCCTTCCTTATCACCCACTCACCTCCTTCTCCTTCCCCTTTCCCTCTCTCTCTCTCTCTCTCTCATAATATATATATATATATAGATATAATATATAGATATATATATATATATATATAGATATATATATATATATAGATATATCTTAATTTCATCTTTCAATCTCTCTAATGGTGCTCCACCTCCTGCCCTCTTTATATACACACTAAAAAACACTCACAAAACCCTAAAACACACAAAACCCTAAAAAAAACACAAACACAGAGATATAATACACAGCATTGGCTCTGTTTTTACTTCTGACTGATTGGGTACTTGTTAAACTTCTGATTCTTATTGCTCTCTGCAAGCTTTTCTGGTAATTGTTTTTCATATTCATGGCCTTTTTTTTGTCATTCAACAACTCCTCCACATTTCCTAGCAAAAATCCATCAATTGTTCTTCGTTATTTTAGCCAAAAGTACACTTTATTATTATTATTTTTTTTGCTTGTGTTTACTCCGTCGCCTCTGTTTTTTGTTATTTGTGATTTGAAACTTATTGGAGTGAAGAATCTTTAGCTATATACATAGCCTTCTTTTTCATTTCAGAATTCCATGAAATTTTCTTGCAAAGACCCTTTCATAATTTTATCCAAAATTCGATGTTTTTTTCTTGTTTTTTTGTCAATTTCATAAATCCATGACATTCTGTTAAAAAGCCCCATAAATTGTTGTTCATAATTTTATTCAAATTCAAAGGGTACTTTTTTTTTTTCCTGTACTTCTATTTCGTACTGAGTTCAGCATCTTCATCGGTTTCTGTTAATTCTTTGCAACCTTGATGGTGTTTTCGTCACCCCCACGATTCCACGACATTTTCTTGAAATAACCCATAAACTATTCTTCGTAACTTTTTTTTTTGTTTAATCCACAATCTTTCTTGCTCTATGCTTGTTGGCATGGTCATTTTTGTCATTTCACTATTCCATTACGTTTCTTGAAAAACCCCATCACTTATTCTTTATATTTATATAGACTTTCTCTTTGTTTTTTATTTAATTAATAATTAATATCTTAGTATTCATAATCTTTGTCGCTCTATCGGTCTATCCTATCTTTCTGTAACTCTTTCTACCTTCCACGGTTATTTTGGTCATGCCACAATTCGATTACATCTTTGTTAAAAAAGCAAAAGAAAACCATCTATTATTCTTCACAATTAATTATTTATCTTTAATCTAATTCATATTGAAGTTACATATTTAATGCTCTTTGGTAAATTTTGGCGACTGCAATGGCCTTTGTAGTTATTTCACAATTCCATGACATTTTTTTGGAAACCCTGTCAATTATTTTTCAATATTATCTCAAATTAAATATTTCATTTTTCGTATTTAGTTACTTTATATAAAGAACCATATATTTATTATTTAATACTTCATGTTGTAATTCAGAGTAAGAAAATTAGTTGAAGCAAGAGCTTTTGAAAAATGGCGCCCAAGAATGGACGTGGGAAGACCAAGGGAGATAAGAAGAAGAAGGAAGAGAAGGGTATAATTTTATTATTTTTTAATAATAATATTTTTTATTAATAATTATTTTCTACAATAATTAACGAAGAATGTGTACGTTTGCAGTTCTACCAGTTGTTGTGGATATAACTGTGAATCTTCCTGATGATACCCATGTTATATTGAAGGTTCGTACAATTACTTATTATTTTTATAATTAAAAATACTATTTTTTTAGTATTGACATCATTTGAAAATCTTATCTGGAAATGAATAAATTGATGACAAAAAAGTTTTAACATTTTTTCAATTTGATTCATCTTTGATAGTTTATAATCACATGTCATGAAGCTCATAGGCACATGCTATATAAACTAGTTTATTTTGATGTATTAATTAACTAACTCGTATTTGGCATTATCTCTTTCTTTACAGTAAAAAATCAAAGGGTAATGGCTTGATTTGTCCATTATAATCTATATGATTTTCCTTATCTTTTGCTAAAACAAGGACTTATAAACATTTCATTAATATATATATATATATATATATATATATATATATATATATATATATATATATATATATATATATCATGGAGATGGCTAGAAAGTTAGATAAGATTTTGAAGGTTTATGACTTGCTTCTATATCAGGTCAAAAATGTCATTACCAAATTGTTACAAAATTGTCCGAACTATACGTGTCTATGTCAATAAAAACGTGTTACCTATATCGTCTATCGAAAATTCAAATATATGCATTTTAGCAACCAACGCCACCTACAATTAATTACAAATAAGAGGTGTACAAGAAAACACGTAAATACGGTCATTAGAAGTCGGGTATATCGTTTCCGGTATACTTTAAAACTCAACTATCTTTTTTTGGAATAATCCTATTCAATGGTACCATGCATTTTATGGATAATATTAAGAAATCGACTCCATATGAAAGCTTGATGTGGGCCCAATCAATGAACTACAAGAATATTTTCAAAAAAATAAATAAAATATATGTATTCCTGTTACATGCTTTAAACAAGACAATGGTTTATTTGTTATTGCACTACTTCATTTTCAAACTGAAAAAATGAGTATATGATATTTTTCTTGTAATTATATTATCTGATTTTGAGCAGGGAATATCGACAGATAGAGTTATAGATATTCGTCGACTATTATCCGTGAATACAGTAACATGCAACATCACAAATTTTTCGCTCTCTCACGAGGTACGACTTATAATTGTTTGTATCAATTTCTATCAGCAATAATCATTCACATCTCATAAAAACAATCAAGACCTGTAAAAATATATCTTTCAATAGAAAATGTTTTTTTTTTTTTTTTTTTTTAAATTTTTATTGGTTTTTTATATTTGACCAATGGGCCACCTTATCTTTTCAATTTGGTTCAGTTGGCCCATTAACAAATGACACTTTTCGTCCACCCATTTCATTTGCCCTTCTTTTGTTAACAGGTAAGAGGACCACGATTGAAAGATACGGTGGACGTTGCAGCATTGAAGCCATGCACGCTCAATCTCATTGAGGGTAATCAACCACTTTATTACTGCCACGTGTTACTACCCCGCGATCTTACACACAAATGACATTTTTGTTCTCACATTTTTTATTTATTACATAACAGAGGACTACGACGCTGAAACCGCCACGGCACATGTCAGACGATTGTTGGACATCGTTGCTTGCACGACGTCGTTTGGTCCGTCGCCGGTGGTCAAGGAGGATTTTGGCATTAATGTGCCGGAAACCAAGACCGGAAAGAAGACGAGCAAATCACAACAAACCAATAAGCGGTCCTCGAGTGTGACGACTTTGACTCCTCCATCGCAACAGTCGCAGTCGAAAGATGTCTCCGTGGATGGAGAGGGAGAGCTGAGCAACTCGTGTCCCAAGCTTGGTAGCTTTTACGAATTCTTCTCCCTCTCTCACCTCACTCCTCCTATCCAGTGTAAGTCTATGAGCACACTCGATGACATACTTGGATCTTTCAACAAAATTGAGACAATTTCATCATTCATACAATACACATACACATAATTAATACACACTCAATTTGCTATAGTTTTTGGTCTATTCCTCCGTGCTGACATTAACATTCTATCGCAAATTCTTGTGCAGATGTAAGGAGGGCAACACGGCAAAATGAAGATGACATTTTAATTGATGATCATCTTTTCTCGCTTGAAGTAAGAAAATCCTTCAACAGTTTATTAAGTATTTGTTTTGTAAAACATGTGTTATTTGTTTAATTACATTCCTGAGGACTTAAACTTTATGGTAAAGGTGAAGTTGTGCCATGGAAAGCCTGCCCATATAGAAGTCTATCGAAAAGGATTTTGCAGCATCGGGAAGCAGCGAATTTTATGTCACAACCTTGTTGATTTGCTGCGGCGACTTAGCAGAGCATTTGAGAATGTAAGTTTCTAAAGATATCATCTTCATTATGTATGTTAATTACCTTTTCCATATAGCCATAATTTTGGTTGTCCATATACTTGCCTATTTGAACAAGCGGTACCTATCATTTCAGGCTTATGAGGACCTCATTAAAGCATTCACAGAAAGGAACAAGGTACACTTGTGGAGTGGGATTAAGGTCAATTAGTGTACATTTGGTTTGTTAACAGTTGTTTTAACTACTCGTACAGTTTGGAAATCTCCCGTATGGGTTGAGAGCCAATACATGGCTGATACCTCCTGTTGCAGCACAAGCGCCTTGGGTTTTCCCACCTCTTCCTGCAGAGGATGAAAGTTGGGGAGGAAATGGGGGTGGTCTGGGAAGGGATGGAAAAAGTGATTTGCATCCTTGGGCTACTGAATTCATGTATGTTGCATCTATGTCTTGCAAAACTGCACAAGATAGGCAGATTCGAGACAGGAAAGCTTTCCTATTGCATAGCTTATATGTCGATGTTGCCATTTTCAAAGCCATTTTAGCCATTCAACACATAATGGAAAACCCAAACATAAATCATTCTAATTTCACTATACATACGGAGAGCATCGGTGACTTGAGAATCAGAGTCTTTAAGGATACTCCTGATGCTAGCTGCAAAATAGATACAAAGATTGATGGATCGCAAGCAACTGGGGTGCAGAAAGAAAATTTGGTGGAGAGAAACCTACTGAAAGGGATCACTGCTGATGAGAACACTGCTGCTCATGTAAGATGATATTTCAATTCCAATCATCTTGATTTTATTATCTTCTTTTTTAATTTTATTTATGTGCGAGTTTTTTTTTTTTAAAAAAAAAAACCAGGATATAGCTACTCTTGGTGTTGTGAATGTAAGGTATTGTGGTTATACTGCTGTCGTGAAAGTTGAGGAGAGAAAAGATGACAAGAAACATTCTCCATTGCCATACATTGAGCTTCTCGATCAGCCTGATGGAGGAGCATGCGCCCTCAATATCAACAGGTTTTTCTTCATCATTGGCATATATTACATTTGTGCCACTTAGCGTGTTAATTCTCACTAATTTCTTGTAGTTTGAGGTTGCTGCTTCATAAAAAAACAAGTAGCATTCTTCCTAATTTGAAAAGATCTGAAGGCGAAGAGCTCGGTACTTCTCGAGTCCTTGTGGAGAAACTACTAAAGGAGAGTTTAATGAAGCTTCAGGAAGAGTGTGTTGAATCTGACAAGTTTACAAGATGGGAACTTGGAGCTTGCTGGATACAACATTTACAAGATCAAAAGAAAACAGAAAAAGACAAGAAAGCTTCTACTGAAAAGGTGAAGGTTGAAGGGCTCGGGACAGCTCTTCGATCTTTAAAAAACAAGAAAAAGGATTTGGAAGTTGTTGATGCTGTGAATGGGGAAGTCGAGAATTCTGTGTTGGACTTTGTTGTAGAATCTCCCAACTCAGATGAAAATGACAACGCTTTAAAAAAACTGTTATCTGATGCTGCTTTTACTCGGCTTAAAGAGTCAGAAACTGGGCTCCACTGCAAGGTGGTGTTAAAATTAAAGTGTTGTTATATAGCATTCCATATTAACCTGGTGCTTGTTATTTGCAGTCTTTGTTGGAGCTGATTGACCAATCTCAAAAATATTACAACGAAGTTGCTCTTCCAAAATTGGTAACTACATTACATAGCTAAAAACATCATCTAATTAATGTAAGTGTGATGATAACGGACAGATTGTTGCACTTGATCATCATATGTAGGTTGCAGATTTTGGTTCTTTGGAACTATCACCGGTTGATGGGCGAACTCTAACTGATTTTATGCACACACGAGGTCTCCGCATGCGTTCTTTAGGACAAGTGGTTAGTTATTTTTCTTTTTCTTTCAATTCAATGGTATCTGTAGAAGGCTTTGCAGTGACTAATGCTTGCTATTTCTGTGTTTGAGCAGGTTAAGTTGTCAGAAAAATTATCACATGTGCAATCTCTATGTATACATGAGATGATAGTACGAGCTTTTAAGCACATTATACAGGCAGTGATTGCTGCTGTTTCTAAACCAGAGGAAATGGCTGCTGGAATTGCTGCTGCACTGAATCTGATGCTTGGGGTTCCTGAAAGTAAACAATCTTGTGTTCATTCTGTAACAAAGACATGGCTAGAAGTTTTCTTGAAGAAGCGATTTGACTGGGATCTTGCCAGCTTTAACTACACAGAACTTAGAAAAATTGCTATACTACGTGGGTTATGCCATAAGGTAATTGATTCATACATAACAACTGAATGCACCCTTCCTCCCTCAAGTATCCTTAACATTGCAAACAAATTTTCCAGGTTGGCATTGAGCTGGTTCCAAGAGATTTTGATATGAACTCTCCCCAGCCTTTCAAAAAGGAGGACATCATCAGCTTAGTACCAGTGCATAAGGTGATAAATTAACAGATCATATATATATATATATATATATATATATATATATATATATATATATATATATATGATTGATTGCTCATTGTTTTTTTTACAACCAGTCAGTTCATACCCATATATATTGTTTCATGTATCGATTTATTGTATTATGTTGCAGCAAGCAGCATGCTCGTCTGCTGATGGACGCCAACTCCTGGAATCATCAAAAACTGCCCTCGACAAGGGAAAGCTGGAAGATGCAGTTAGCTATGGGACAAAGGTATGAGTGAGTGTTACATTTTTTATTTTTTTTTTAAATATATATATATATATATATATATATATATATATATATATATATATATATTAGCATGACCTAACATGTTATTACTTATTCCTTCTTACAGGCTCTTGCAAAGCTAGTTGCAGTGTGTGGTCCTTATCACCGAATAACTGCAGGAGCTTACAGTCTCCTTGCTGTGGTTTTGTATCACACTGGGGACTTCAACCAGGTCTTTATTTGTTATTATTATTTATTAATATTAATGGGTATTGTAGATATACTATTTTGCTGTTTTGTCTGTCTTTCAAGCTCTCAGATTGATTGGATTGGATTGAATTGCAGGCCACAATCTACCAACAAAAAGCTTTGGACATCAATGAGAGAGAACTGGGATTAGATCATCCAGATACCATGAAAAGCTATGGGGATCTTGCTGTGTTCTACTATCGCCTTCAACATACAGAGTTGGCTCTCAAGTATGTTTTTTTTTTTTTTTTTTTTTGTTCATATTTAATACAAATTGGTTTTCTTACCTACTACAATATCAGGTATGTAAAACGAGCATTGTATTTGCTACATCTTACATGTGGCCCATCACATCCAAATACGGCTGCCACGTACATTAATGTAGCTATGATGGAGGAAGGTCTGGGAAATGTCCATGTCGCCCTCAGATATCTCCATAAAGCTCTCAAGTGCAACCAAAAGTTACTTGGGCCAGACCATATCCAGGTTGCTTATTTACTTGTTAAATTCCACCCCCCCTTCCTCCCATAAAACAAGAGTCTACATGGTTAACTATGTTCCTTTTGTTTTGCAGACTGCTGCAAGTTACCATGCAATTGCAATTGCTCTCTCTTTAATGGAAGCTTATCCTCTGAGTGTTCAGCATGAACAAACAACCTTGCAGATACTACGCGCAAAACTTGGCCCAGATGATCTACGCACACAGGATGCTGCTGCTTGGCTCGAGTATTTTGAATCCAAGGCTCTTGAACAGCAAGAAGCTGCAAGAAATGGGACTCGGAAACCCGATGCATCCATAGCTAGCAAAGGCCATCTTAGGTATGTTTAAACGATTTCCTTCAATTCATTTCAAACCAATAAATGATTTGTGTAAATGATGATGGGCAGTGTATCGGATTTGCTTGACTATATCAATCCAAGTCATGATGGACAAGGGGCTGATGGTATGGGTTTAAAACGTAAAACCTATATCCAGAAGGTATGCTCAGTTACATTACATATATTATTGATATATTCATAATAAGGAAAGTGTATCTAAGGATACAACATATTCCATTTCCAGTTGAAGGGAAAAAGCTACCAAACCTTGGAGGTGGCAAATGCTGAGGAGGCATCTCCAAAAGATCTTCTGAAACAAGTTACAGATGAAGAGAAACAAGAGGCAACCCTTGAACATGAGATTCAAGTGAATCACGAATCCACCTATCTATCTGTTGAGTCGATACCACCAATCAAGGAAGAAAGTGTTGAAGAAACACCAGTTCCAGTTCCAGTTGCTTCCGAGCTTCAGCCACCAGAGGAAACGGGTGCACAGAACCAAAACCCTAACCCTAACCCTAACCATTCTAGTAATGAAGGAGGAGGAGAAGAAGGGTGGCAAGCGGTTCAAAGGCCAAGATCAGCAGGCTCATATGGACGTCGACTAAGACAGAGGAAAGCAGCAGCGGGTCTCAACAAGTTTTATGGCTATCAAAAGAAAGGTGTAGTTGATGAGTCTGAAAATGGAATTGGAAGGTTTCACTTTGTAAAGAAACGAGTGATGTCTCCTTCAACTTATGTTGACTACCACACTGCTACTCCTAATCATAATAAATTTGGGCGTAGAATTGTCAAAGGTTTGACATACAGAGTTAAGTCCTCGGGGCCTGTGCCTGTGGAAGAAACTAATTCTAATTCTTCGTCATCTGAACAAACAACGAAAGAAGTATCAGTAGGACATGTACCACAGACACAGAGAAGATCCATGGTTAGCATTGGAAAATCTCCTTCTTACAAAGAAGTAGCCTTGGCCCCACCAGGTTCCATTTCTCTATTGCAGGTCAGGGACGGAGATGATGACATTATTCCTGATGATAAGGAAATCGATAATGGTAAGCACAAGGAATCTGTTGTTAAAGAAGCGGAAGAAGAGATTTCTGAGAAAGTGGATACGAAAGATGAAACAGAAGAAACTCATTTAGGAGATGATGTGCTCCCTGCAAATTGCAGATGTGGTGGAGGTTGATAAGGTAATAGACAAAAGTGTAATAATCGACATGCCAATTCCAATTGTTCCCTCTAATGCCAGTATAGAGACAGAAAATGTAAAACTAAATCAAAGCCAAGAACCCCCAAACAAGTTGTCTGCATCAGCTACTCCATTTAACCCATCGCCACCTGCTGTCCGTGTTGCACCAATGCCCATGAACATTGCTCTACCTCCTCCTGCTCCTGGGCCCACCCCATGGCAAATGAATATGACTCTTCACCCAAGACCACCTTCTTCACCTCACTCACCCTACCCTACACCTCCACTTCCAGGCACCCCCAATATGATGCACCCACACCCATTGCCTCTTATGTACTCTCCTCCATATACACAAGCTCCATCGTTATCATTACCCATACCCAACACTAACACTACATATCCTGTAACCACCGGTCCCTTTCATCCCAATCATTTCGCATGGCAATGTAATATGGGCGCTAATGGGTTACAATATGTTACTGGGCCCGTTTGGTCAAACTGCCATCCAATGGAATTCTCCATCTCCCCACCAGCAGTAAGGCCGATTTCTGATCCAAACATGGAGACCAAACAGGTGTTTGATGCTCCTCCTAGTTTATTGGAGGTTAACAATGTGGATGAAACTAAGCAAGAAGTGAGTCTTGAGAAATCTAATGGTTCAAATCATGGCCAAAGGGTTGAGAACGAGAAGACGTTTAATATATTGATAAGGGGGAGAAGAAACCGAAAACAGACTTTGAGGATGCCCATTAGTCTGCTCAACAAGCCGTATAATTCTCAGTCCTTCAAAGTCATATATAGCAGAGTCATCAGAGGAAGTGAAGCTCCAAAGTCTAGCACCAGCCTTTCTTCTCAACCTACTGCTACTGCTACATAGTTGGTGGGAGTGGGATACACATGATTACAAAGTGTAGTTCCATAGTTTTGCCATGTAGACACAGATATCAAGTTACATGGATCTCAAATCATCACTTGAAAAAGTTACAGGTTAGTTTAATAACTGCATGTTATTGCCATCTTGTTTCTTTCCTTGACTTGAATAAAGAATAAAAATGTAGTTGTCAATCTTGGTTACATTTTGCTTTCATTCATCATGGTTTTTAGGTTTCAAAACCAGATAGGCTTTGCAGTCAGTCAGTCAGTCATACTTGGGATTTCAGAGATGTTGAATAATGACAAGGACACAACACACAGGTTTAAAAAAAATTTGGATTGTTGGTGCATATCATTACAAGACTAATTAATTGGGTGGTTATCCCATGGCCATGATGATTAAATTGGATTTGATTGTACATGATACCATTTTTGTTTAAACTGAGTTTGATTTAGACATACAAAATCCCCAAGTAAAAAAAATGTTGCTGATACTAATACTTATAATAGAACCAATTCTTAGTCCATGCTATATGTATTTCTTTAGCTTTCTATTCTTCTTCTAAATTTAAAGGATTATGTGCATATGATCTATCACTCGGTAAGTTATGCTTCTGTTAAGATCTAATCAGACTTTGATTATTGAGTCTGACTCTAAAGTTTAACAACTAAATATCATAGCTTCGTATAGTTGTTTAAAGTAGACATGCTAATATAAAGTATACAACAACGCAAAGCATACAAAAATGTAAAATCACTCCCTGGAACATAACATAAAGTGTGTAAAGGTTTACATGAATACAGCTTGTGGCACACCCTCCACTTCAACCTCAACATCCTTAACAAGTCCATTTGCATAAACTGCTTGTTTGATGAGTTTTAGTGAGCCTTGAAGATCATCTAGCTGGTTGTGAGGATCTGGGATGGTATTTTCATCAACCGAGAGGACTATTGTCATGTTATCCACATAGCTTTGGAAATTAATCATCAAACTCTATTTAGGGAATATATATATATATATATATATATATATATATATATATATATATATATATATATATATATATATATATATATATATATATATATATATATATATATTAGCAGCTCAATACCATAACCATGATTTAGCTCAATATGTATCCTTTTCCTTACATGTGGTTGGCCATAGGAACTGGTTGCAAGGAATTCCATGGCATGGCCATAAAACCCGGTTTCTTCTACAGGTCCAGCCAAGTTTGAGAAGCATAATGTTGTATGTGTGATGATCTTGCATGAAATCCAGCTTGCTGCCTATATACATATATAACAGGCTTGATTGTTTTGAATGAATGGATGAATCACTACTCAAATGAGGGGTTTTTCTTTTTGATAGGAGAGAGAGAGAGAGAGAGAGAGAGAGAGATATGGTCGTCTTCTGATCAATCGTTGCCTTGGCTTCTCGTACATAGTCAAGCGGATCATCTCTTATACCGATACTCAATGGAAGGAGCATGCAATTGTTCGAATTCCCCCATTTGGCTTCACTGTTGTTCTCCTCCGTCATTCCAAACAATGCCTTTATATATAAATAAATAATTCAAATATACTCATCAGTAAATTATTAAGTAAACATAAATCCAAAATAGTAATTTTTCAAGATTCAACCGCTCACTTGAATGCCAGGTGAAGATGGTCTTGGCCTTGTGTTGATAAAAGCCGTAGAACGCAATCGTATCTTCTTCTTCGGGAGGTTGTTTTTCTTTTGGGTTGCACCTTTGTCTCTCTTCCTCTCACCTTAAGCAACATCACAACAAAGTATTTAATATGGTTTTATTGGACAAAAAAATATATATTGCTTTTTTTGAGCATTCAGATTAATATAAGAGAAATAAGTTGTTATTTTATTTTATTTTTGCATATAAGTATTTTATTATACGTTATTACTCTCTATTCTTTTTTGTTAAAAATCAAGCTGAAAATTGAAAATTTATGTAACATCCATAAAATTCATGTAAAATTTAAACTTTTCAAACATTTCAAAACCATCTATTGTTTACAAATTGTTTTCAAAATAATTTAATATCAGAGTTTTCCCAGAAATCACAACATGAAAAACGAGGAGGTGCAGCCTTCGCCTTCCCGCGATCATCCGAAGTACCTGAAACAAAATTCACAACTGTAAGCACGAAGCTTAGTGAGTTCCCCCAAAATACCCGCACAACAATAACATACATATAATAACAGCATACCATGGATCCAATCAATCATCGGGTTGGAATGTCCCATGCCCTCAACCATCAGGTTAGAATGCCAACATACTATGGGTCCAATCATCCTCGGGATGGTATACCCTCGGCCCTCAACCATCGGGTTGGAATGCCCACATACTATGAGTTCAATCATCCTCGGGATGGAAAACTCTCGGCCCTCAACCATCGGGTTGGAATGCCCACATACTATGAGTCCAATCATCCTCGGGATGGAATATTCTCGGCCCTCAACCATCGGGTTGGAATGCCCCGGTCTGTTGGCTCATGCACAAAGCAAAAAAGCCTCAACCACCAATCAAACATATGCACATATATCAGATAATCACATAACAGTCTACAGACAGTCAAACCGTGTCACACCCCCAAACCGGAACGACGGAAACGTTCAGGGGCAGAGGACGCCATGTACAGTATCACAACAGTTGTATAATAGTAATCAAAGCAACAACAACCATTGTATTAATAATATAAAGTTTACATTATGTTCAAAACATTTCATGATTTACATTAAAACTATAGCAAAAGATAAGACATAAAACTACTATGCTTCGTCTTCGCAACACCTGAGATGGTACCTATCTACTAACGTTCCTGAGATCACAAGTGGTTTAAAAAAAATGTCAACATTAAAGTTGGTGAGTTCATAAGTATTTTTGTTATAAAAAGTATACACTTTGTTTTTTGGAAAAGTTCGCCTGTTCCTCCAGAAAATCCTATATTTTCTTAATAAAATGGTGACCCAATAGTTCCTTCTACAGTCACTTAGTTTATACTAGCTATATATAGTGTAATATCGAACAGACGGTTGAATGTGTGAATCTGCCCTAAGCCCACAACCAAACAAGGAACAGGAAGTAAGGCGGAAATCACACATTTCACTGCCTATCGGATATTATTTATATATAACTTTGATGTATAAACTAAGGAATTATATAATTAACCATTACGGGTCCTTTATGTTATACTAGCTTGTACATAAGTGTTGAACCTTTTGTAAATATGTTCCTAGTTTCACTTACTCTATTGCAAAACATTGTTTTCAATAATAATTATATTTGTTTTCAGAAAGTTAAATCGAAAACTGTTGTTTACCTTTAAAATAACGATGTTTATCATAGAATATCCTATATTTTCTATAAAACCAATTTGTAGTCTTAATCGTTCCAATACCGAAAAGCACAAGTATAATTATCATACTTAGTTTAATGATATCTAGTTTTATTTATAAGTTAAACTAGTTGAAGATTTGTTTGCCCTGAAAACTCGATGCGACGATACTACCCTCCTATGATCACTTAATAAATACGAGTTGTATATAACCGAGATCGAACAGACAGTTGAATGGGTGAATCTGCCCTAAGCCCACAACCAAACAAGGAACAGGAAGTAAGGCGGAAGTCACACATTTCACTGTCTACCGGACTTCAATTTTATATAACCGTATTGTATATATACTGGGTAATCACATAGTTAATATCCCTTGAGACTGTTTAAGAGAAAGTATATTACTATGTAAATATGTCGTTGTTTTCTCCCTGTGAGTTCTTATAACCATACTAATATGAAAGATATCCTGATACGACGTGAATCGGACGTCGATATTGTGACATCCTCATTTTTACGGCCAGAAAAGACCGATTTCGTTTATGCTTTTTAATTAAAATCAGAGTAACTTCTTAAGAAAAGTGTTGCGGAATTTGTTCCCAAAACAAAATATGATAAAAATTTATCAAAGCATTTCTTAAAGAAATATATTTTCATTACATTACAAAAACTCGGGATGTCAATCATCGATACAGATCATAAACATAAGCCAAAAACATCATAGACCACAAAACACAATCTGGCCTCAAAACAACATAGGCCTTATAACATTCCATTTATTTTCTACTGGCCTAAAATCCATAATCTCTCGTCAGGTCATCCAACTATGCTTTTGCCACTACCTGTAATACAAGAAACTGAGTGGGTCAGGCTAGGGAGCCTGGTGAGCATATAGGGTTTTCAACCCACAATAAATAAGTTTATTATTTTCAACAATCATTAAACCCGATTACCCATTCCCGTTATCCTCACCTTACGTCCCTAAAGCATCTCTCATAAGGGACCTATCCGAAAAATTTCATCGGGATGGACACTGCTGCTAAAGGGATTCCTCAGTCATATGTGTCTGTAAGGCAACCATGGGGGGATGGAGTACACCGGTGAACACATCGTTCACAAACACCTACAGGTTGCGAGCCTGCTAGCGTTCTACTGGACTTCCTAGAAAAGTCTGTGGTCGTCATCCATACTCCGCTAGATGACTGGATCAACGTCAACATCGAGGCCTCTCATCATTTTATTTCATCACACACCAACTATTTCATTTACTCATGTTTTACCCAACATATTTGTAGATAAAAAATACATATACAGTTCAGATCTGGAAAACAAAGTTTAAATCTTTCATACAGCATAGATCTCAAAGTATAAAACATACATATACAGTTTAGATCTGAAAAGTCTAGATCTGAAGGAAAAAGGTTCAGATCTGAAAGAAAAGTTTAGATCTGAAAGAAAAGTCTAGATCTGAAGAGAAAGTTCAGATCTGAAAAGAAAGAGGTTCAGATCTCTCATCCAGCAAACATCTCAGGTAAACAGACAACATATATTTATACACATAGCACGTAATTTATATAAAATACTTCATATCTATGTGTAAGATGAAAGTGACTATACACTCACCTGATAAGGAGTGATTCGGACAGCACTTCGCTTCTTAAAATAATCTTCTTTGACGAAACCGGGAAGTTTGCTTGAAAATCGGGCTCCGCACGGGCAGAGTTTCAAACCGAAAAACTCTTTTTCTCGGAGCCTTCGGGCGCTCCGGGGCTTTCTTCTAGTGCTAGGGGGTTTTCCTAGGCTTTAGGGGGTTTTAGGGGGCTAGAGAGAGAAAGTAGTGAGAGAAAAAATGTGGAAATGAGCAAAAATCTCGGCAGCCCTCGCACCCTTTTATAGGCCGAGGCCTCAGAGTACAATGGGCGTAGATCCGAGGTACGCTGGGCGTAAGGCGAGTTCGTACGACACGCGTCGCAAGGCTGCTGGATCATCATGGCTCAATGTGGACCGAGGAAAAAGTCAATCCGCGGGGCGTACCTCTTTCGTACACGGGGCGTACTTCGGTACGCAGGGCGTCCGAAGGTACGTTGGGCCTACCCCTCGCACCAGGTTCGAGATTTCCCACTCCGACTTCAAAAATTCATATCTTTCACATACGAGCTCCGTTTTCGACGTTATTTATATCCACGCGTAGGCGGGACCGTACTCTACGACTTTTGTTTAGACTTCGTCGGCTAGTTCTCGACCGATTTTCAATTTATATTCTTTAACAGACCGGGACAATAAAGCCTGTTAAAATTTCATAACTTCTTCATCCGACGTCCGTTTTTGTCTGTCTTTTTACCGTTGCGCTACTATTAACGAGATTTTCGATTCTCATTTAGGTTGTGTCGGCCAAAAATCGACCGATCTATTATTCGAACTCTGGGTTGTGCACTGCTGGTCCGAAACTTAGAAAAACCATAACGTCCTCATATGAAGTCAAATTTGGGCGTTCTTTTTATGCACGCTCTCGGTTTAACAAACACTACGACTTTCGTTCATATTGCTAGGGCTAAAAAGTCCTATATCGTAAATTCACTATTTACGTCACGCAGTGTCGTGCCGGTTCTGTCGCGAAACTTCGATAGGCCATAACTTCTTCGTCACAACTCGGATTTCGGCGTTCTTTATATCTCCGGAATCCTTGTCACGACCACTACAACCTTGTTTATCGATATCGGGTTTATCTAACATTTTATTTTTGACGCTTATTTTTATCCTTTATTTATTATATTATTATAAACAAGTAACAAGCACACAAAAGCACATAGTTCACATAATATTCAGGTAATTCATCTTTATTACTTTAAAATGGGTTAAAATGGTTGACCTAGACTATTACATCATCATTAATTCTTAGCCTAGAAACACGGGCGTTACAATTCTCTCCCCATTAGGATGATTCCGTCCCGGAATCATGCATCAGCAAGCAAATGCAGATAGCGACTCATCATGTCACTCTCCGTTTCCCAGGTGAGATTTGGCCCATTCGAATGTTTCCATCGCACAAGCACTAAGTCGACCATCTTGCGTCGCAACTTTTCGTCTTACGGTCAGCAATTGCCTCAGGCTCTTCGATTAGCCTCTTATTCTCATCCATCCTTAACTCTGAAATTGGAATTATGTCGGGAACTTCTCCCATGAACTTCCTCAAATAACACACATGGAATGTGTTATGAATACCCTCTAGTTCTTTTGGTAGTTCTAGCTTGTAAGCTTGGTTCCCAATCCTTTGAAGAACTTTGAACGGTCTAATGAACCATGGACTCAACTTTCCTCTTTTCCCAAATCTTATAAGTCCCTTCCATGGTGATACTTTAAGCAAAACCGAATCTCCAACTTTGAATGTCACTGGTCGTCTCTTTTTGTCAGCATAGCTCTTTTGACGATCCTGAGCTGCTAACATTCTTTCCCTAATCACCTTCAACTTTTCAGCAGTCTGATGGACTATCTCGGGGCCCATAAACTGCTTTTCTCCGGCTTCAAGCCAACAAGACGGCGTACGACACTTTTTCCCATACAAGGCTTGATAAGGTGCCATCTTGATGCTCGAATGATAACTATTGTTGTAGGAAAATTCTACCAGAGGTAAATGTTCATCCCAGTTACCTTGAAATTCCAGGGTAGATGCTCTCAACATATCTTCAAGTGTTTGAATCGTCCTTTCGCTTTGACCTTCGGTCTGCGGATGGTAGGTTGTACTTAAACACAACTTTGTACCCAATTCCACTTATAGACTCCTCCAAAACCTTGACGTAAAACGGCTATCACGGTCTGATACTATCGTTAAAGGAACATCGTGAAGTCTTACTACTTCCTTCACATAAGCATTAGAAAGCTTATCCATATACCATTTTTCATTGGCTGCTATAA